GAGTGTAGTGAGAGGACAAGGGGTAACATGTACAAGCTGAAAGAGGGTAAACTTAGACTAGACATTAAGAAGAAATTTTTCACTGTGAGGGTGGTTAGACACTGGAACAGGTTGCCCAGGGAAGTTGCGGATGCCCCATCCCTGGAGGTGTTCAAGGCCAGGCTGGATGAGGCTTTGAGCAACCTGGCATGGCAGGGGGGTTGGAACTTGATGATCTTTAAGGTCCTTTCCAACCCAAACCATTCTATGATTCTATAATGAGAAATAAAACCCAAATCTTAAAACAATTATCCCCACTCCTCCCTTCTTCCTGGGCTCAACTTCACTGCTGATTTTCTCTCTCCACTGAGAGGCACAGGAGGACAAGGAAAGAGGGCTGTGGTCAGTTCATCACACGTCTCTGCTGCTCCCTCCTCAGGAGGAGGACTCCTCACATTCTTCCCCTGCTCCAGCGTGGGGTCCCTCCCACAGGAGACAGTCTTCCATTACGTTCTCCAACATGAGTCCTTCCCATGGGCTGCAGTTCTTCACTAACTGCTCCAGCATGGTTCCCTTCCATGGGGTGCCAGTCCTTCAGGCACAGACTGCTCCAGCACGGGTCCTGCCAGCAAACCTGCTCCAGCCTGGACTTCTCTCTTCGTGGGTCCACAGGTCCTGCCAGGATCCTGCTCCAGCATGGGCTTCCCATGGGGTCACAGCCTCCTTCAGGCATCCACCTGGTCCGGTGTGGGGTCCTTCCCAGGCTGCAGGTGGAGATCTGCTCTACCGTTACCCTCCATGGCTGCAGGGGCGCAGCTGCCTTGCCATGGTCTCACCACAAGCTGCAGGGGAATCTCTGCTCCCGCGCCTGGAGCACCCCCTCTCCTCCTTCACTGACCTTGGTGTCTGCAGAGTTGTTTCTCTTGCACATCCTCACTCCTCTCTTTGGCTGCAATTCAAGTTTTTTTTCCCCTTTCTTAAATGTTATCACAGAGGCGCTACCACCATCACTGATGAGCTCGGCCTTGGCCAGCGGTGGGTCTGACTTGGAGCCACCTGGCTCTACCAGTCATAGGGGAAGCTTCTAGCAGCTTCTCACAGAAGGCACCCTGTAGCACCCCCTACTAACACACCCCTACCTACCAAAACCTTGCCACACCAGCCCAATACACATGGTAGAAGTGGATCTGCCTGTTGACTGCTCAAACAGGGAGCTAAATCTACAAGTCCAGGCAAGCTTTTGGAGAGTAATCAAAAATAAGTACTGGTAACACTACAACAAAGAACTTTTGATTGCTTAATTAAATTACTTTTATGTGCACCTTCTTAAAAACTTATCCTACAATGTCCTAAGCCAAATGTTTTGTAGAACGCTGAATGCCAGAACAATAATCAAAAATGTCGTGTTGGCCAATGATGGCTCCTAAATCAGAGGCAATTGAGGCGAAGTTGTGGAGTTCCACATACTAAAGGCATTTAAAGGGAAAAGAATTGATGTTTTATTCTAACAGGAGCGAGTCTCCTCTTTTGGTGTACAATACTTGCCTGTCAACATGTTGAAGCTGCAACGCGTCCATTGATCAGCATCTATACTGTAGGAGTCTATGTGCCGAACCAGGATCCGATCATTGTTGTAGTCCAGATCATTCCCACCTAGCACATAAAGTTTCCTTTGGACAGCCGCCATGGAGTGATACACTCTCCTCTGCAACATTGGGCTACGGCTTAACCACTTATTCTGGAAAGGAAAAGAGAACTTGTCTCAGCAGTGCTCAAAGATGTACCTATATTATTAGTATAGTAATAGTATCATGTTAGTGGTGTTCTCCTTACCCTTGTCCAGAAATCACAAGTGTATATACTTGTGTTGTTCATATTTAAACATGCATGTGGGTTATAACACTGACTAGACATACTGGACTTTCAACACGTGTTTTACAGATTTCACATTTAATAGTATTTCTTGCTCTGTATTTTTTTCCAGTTTAGCTCATCAGGATTCAAAGCTTTTTTCTTCTTTAGAACTCAGAGGCAAATCCTCCTTAAGCAAGACTATTAGTTGTCTCCTTTGTATACAGCACTGAAATTATCTGTACCAACTAGCTCTGTTACGAGAGAAGAGAGATGCTTCTACCTTTTGTTATTCAGAAGCTTATTTGATCTTATCCTTGGGGAATGAAGCAACAGGGAAAACTAATTTCCTAAAGAATCTTCTCAAATGATTCATGTATTTAGTTTAATACTAACCCTTTATTTGTGGGCACTTACAATGTAAAGTCATTTTGCATATTTTTCTTCCTGGTTAACGATATTCAATAATTCTACCTTTTGAGGGGAGGGGGAAAAGGACGTGGAAGAAGAGGGATTAAAGCACGGCATTTTAAACCTAAGAAAATGATTGCTTCTGCTACGCTTACCAAATCAAACAGCCCGGCAGTGGATGAGATTAATTCATTTAAGTGGAGGAAGTTAAAATCTGTGAGGAAATTCTTTACATTACGTGTGCTACCACTTGCGGTAACTCAAGAGCCTCTAATAGTAGTGCCTTTTAACCTCTGCAATATATAGCTATACATTTCAATGTGCAATAGTTGAATACTAGGCATTAATGTTTGCATTAGTAGTCCAGTCTCTTAACACTAGACTATAGACACCATCTGCTTTGCAAAGCCTGCCTGCATCCTCTGATTATATCTTTAGCTTCCTCCACTGCAGTGCCTGCCAGGTGAGCCGCAAAGCACTGCAAAGGCAAAGAAACAGAGGGGCCTGGTGGGGTCATTTCTAATAAGCCGGTGTGTGAATACTAATCAGTGGTGGGGAAGCAGAGGTCATCCCAGCCGGCTTGTTGGCAGGTAGCTGTGTGCTCTGTGGCAGATGGCAGGCATTATCGACTCGCCACAAAGGCCTCGCGCAGAAGCAAGTGCTGGTGCTGAATGATAGAGTTATTGAGATTCTGTGCGAGATGCAAGCAGATGTGATGGTTTCCAGTACACACCGTAAACAATATGCCAGCAGAATTTTTAAAAAGACCTTGTGTGTACAAACATGAAGCGGACCTCATTTGAAGAATGCGAGTGCACAATTCCTGGGTAACTCTTTACACGCCAGTCAGCACGGCACGCTGAAGTAGCCCCACTGCTGGTATTTTGGGGTGCAACTTTCACGTCAGCAAGTAAAGACTCAAAGCAAAAGATACACAGCAGAGACACAGTATCTAAATAAGAGTGCCCCCCTCATAAGCAAAATAAGATTACTGGCTCTAATTACTACTTCAATTTAGTAAAGAATCAGGATTTATATGATCAATGCATAAAACTGCACCTCAAAAAGAAAGAGGCAGCTGTGTCATTGCCTGCTTTCTGCTTCAGGACCTGTATGTGCTATGCTTTAGAAGTATCTCCTGGCACAATTTGCTTCCAAATACAGCAATCAAAGCCCCTATCCTACAATCAGAAAAGTCAATATTCTTCCACGCGGGTGTAAATCAGGCTATGCAACTCTGATTGCAAGCTTAGGACTTTTAATTCCTAATACAAGCAAGAGGGCACAACTGTGCCCTAACCCTCTGAAATGGTTACTGAGCCATGCTAACCTAATCAAAACACATACATAATGTATGAAATAATCCCTAAAAGATATTTTAGGTGCTTTGGTAATGAAATGATAGGCACCCTTGCAGTCAGCAGAATAAGTCATGGACAGGTAGCATAGTTCTGAAAGTATGCAGAAAGCAAAAAGCCCATATATGCAATTCAAAGCAAAAATGCCAATGACAAGAAGCAGTTTTGTGACACTGACTTTGAGCATACGTTGCCCAGGGCTGCTGGTTTACAAAAAAAATGAACAAGCAAAATAAATACTGATGAATACAGGGGATATAAAGCACATTTCTGTATTTATTCTAAGATATTTCTAACACCCAAAGGCTTAAAAAAACCCCATAATAAAAAGTCAGGGTCTCCATTACTCTGCTAAACTCACACATCAGTACAAAGTGAATTTGAAACACCAGTAATTCAAATGGTCACCATTTTTAGCCTTACAAAATCATTGTATGTATTTGTTAAGCAACCACTTTGAAGCAAAACATATGAGAAAACCACATACAACACAGATACCCACCTGCTTAGGATCATAGACCATGAGCCTGTTCTGATACTGTGCTGTATTTGTTACTCCTCCTATGAAAGAGTTTACACAGGTTACATTTTATCATATAAGCAAAACCAGGACCAAGATCAGGTAGAGCAAAATAACCAGTTCTAGGGTTCATTTGCTGACATAATTATGTTGCATACCACCACTTATGCTTATATTCCCCTGCACTTTTTAATCTGGTTACAAGGTAATAGGGAGCACATTTGTCAAACATCTAGAAACGCAAAACAGCAACAACAAACACCCCCCCACGTACTTCCTTTGTAAAGCTAATTCTATGGGCTAAAAACAAGATAAAAATTGATCTGTTTATAAATGACTGTGCATTCAGCTGTCATCAAGACACAAAGATAAAGCCTGTCCCTGTTCCAAGGAGCATGGAGTGTGTGACACAGTTTAAAGGAGGAGGAGGAGGTGGGCTTGCATAAGGAAGAAGGAAGAGGTCAGAGAGGAGCTCTGCCTAACCAAGAGCGTGACGTGGGACACCACTGCCAGCTGGAAAGCATAGCGCAATCCTGTGCAACTGCTCTCACCTAGATATTTGAAGGAAATACTGTCTTTGGTCATTATTATAGAGAGAAAATCTGGCTTAGTTGTAGATTTATGTTGGGAGGTTCCTCCCATAGTGACCAAAACCAACACTACCATTGTTGTACACACATACGTACTTTTCAATAACATTTAGAAAGCAAAGTATAAAGCACCTCAGAAAAGCCCAGAATAGAGTCCGACCCAAGCAGATGCTGCAAACCCAACTATTTACCTCAAACACAGTACACGCTTAATGCCTATCATCCTGTACTCTACTGGTTTTAAATGGCAAATCTCCTTGAGTAAACTGGTGGAAAAATTCTTCAGTCTCAAGTCTGTAATCTTACCTGCATAGATGTGTTCTCAAGTGTGCTCAAGCCTCCTGGGGACATGGTGTCCCTGCAGCACTGCCACAGGTCCCAGTCCCTGCTGTCACCACCTGGGGCCCATGGGAAGCTGGGACCAGAAATAACGCCTGCAAGCTGTACCTCACCTTTCATCCTGCCAGGAGGGCTGGACATAATGAGGGCACACCAGTGGCCACACACCAGTGGCCAAACTCAGATGGACAGACAGACTTCCCACATTACAGTTTTAACAGCACGTGCCAATGATGTGAACTGTACACGGAGCAGACATAGAGAACTGGGCACCACGGTTCTGCCTGCTGATTTGCTCCTACTGGGCTGAGCTACTTGCTAACATAGACATACCCTCTGATCACTTCAAATAACTTGAGAGAGGCCAAGAATCTGACCAATGGATAGCAGAAACTATGGGCAAATCTATTCAGGAATCTTGTCAGCAGGGAGGAATAACGCTGGTTATTTGGGCACATTTCTGCAAACACCCACCTGTACTGGGGCCCCTGCACAGGGATGGCAGCACAGGCTTTCAGCTCGGGGACGTTTACAGGCTACGAGACAGCCAAGACAAAATGTAGTCTTTCCAAACTGTTTCCATCACACTATGCTACGCACTACCCATCACAGCACCTGTGAAGTACACCCGCAAGAAAAAGCATTGGAAAGCAATGACTGTTCCCATGTCTCATCTCACAATCTGCTATGTGTCTCTACGCTGTTGTGCAGCCTTCACAGTGTTAGTGGCTGTCAGCAACATGCACAAAACAATCTTTTCTAATATTTGTTTTGTACTTCGATTTTCTTTTACATAGTTATCTTCACTCCTAGCATAATGCTTAAAAATGTGGTGCCAGATTAGTATTTTGAAAAATAAAAATCATAGTTATTTGGATGATTACCTGCAGAATGTTAAACTACAGGAGATGCATAGGAAACACAACTCCGGGTCACATATTCCCGTTCAGAAAGGACACCTTAATTTGGGGAGATAGATGTGGAGGAATAAGAGAAAGAAGGGGATTGCTTCCTCATAAAATAACAAAATAATCATATAAGCAAAATTATTCGCCTCTCTTCACAAAGAGCCCCTCATATCAAGTACACAGCTTACTTTTTTTTCCCCTGCAATATTGCTCATCTGTGGTGTTTTATCATTACATTCCCTTCACATACTGCTCTTCACTTTTAGATTAATCTGCCAAAATGAGATGCTAAGGATTTGCATACAGATTTGACTACACAAAAATAGATCTGGAATTAATAACAGTCTCTATATGTTTTAATTTCTTCTAGGCTGGAGTACCCTTGCCTCCAGCAGTATTCTTGGCTTTGAAAGTCATCAAGCTGATTTGTCTGCTCTTAGGTTATAATGCCACATGCTGCTACACTGTCCCCTGTAATCAAAGTGCTCGCAGAGATAGATTCTATGCCTTCCCCTAACAAGTATATTTTATAGATTGGCAGTTTTGATCTCCCCTCCCCAGGGGGATAATCTGCATCTTAACAGGTTTCTATAGATACATCTGTCATTAAATATGCCATCTTATATCTGCATCAATTTTCAAACTCAAGTTCCTCCTAACTTTGAAGTGCTATAGCAAAAGTTTAAAATTTTCTGCCAAAATTCAAATTTAACAAGTCTGCAATGTCCTCTTGAACTTTTTTTTTTTTTTTTTAATACTACAGGCAGTTGGAAGAGGGCAAAAAAGGAGCAATATGTCTCTTAAAAAAAATAGGACAAGGAAAAAAATAAGTTGAAATGGTACTAAAAATACGTACTTCCAGAAAAAAAAAAAAATTGGGTAATTCTGAGATGATTTCTTAAACTTCTTTGCAGTGCTTTCTATGAGGAAAGGAAGGGAAAGGCATGGTAATGACACTTGAAAAGAAGTATTTAAAAATACAAAACATGCTATTAAATTTTATGTCAAGCAACAGCAGCTAGTGTGGCAGTAACCCACCAGCCAAGGAAAGAGGAAAAAAAAAAAAAACAAAAGTCTGGCTGGGTAAATGACAGAAAATTTACAGTTTAGTCAGTGCTTGCTGGGTTTAATAAACCAAGAGCAATGATTGCACCACTTTGTCACAAACAGCTTGCTTGGAGGACTAGAGCTTCTGGGAGGCAAGGAGCACCCTCAGGACAAGCTTGTGTCTTTCTTGCTCTTACAGACATGAATACACTCATGGAAAGCCCAGCATCCAACCTGTGGGCTTGCAATGTGTTTACACTGCTGCAGTCATTGTTGCTGACTCCATTGCAGGCTGTAAATCCTGCTTTAAGTCCTCCAAGACTGATAAATTCCCAACTCATGCAACAATGCCCCTCTACATGCAGAAGTTCCTGAAGGAGTCAGAGATCTGCCTTGTCCAACCCTTCCCCACACGTGGGAAATATTTTGGGTTGTTACAGCCCCCCAAACAGTCCACAAACTGCACTGAAAAGCACCTTCAATAAAACGCTTCCACATTGAGAAGGGTAGGAAGCAGTAGATTCAACACCATTTTCCCAATTGAAAATTTATAATCCATATTTATAACATGTCCTGGTAAGACCCCCATATGATTTAAGAAATCTAATCCAATCCAAATCCCCCATAAAATCTCACAACAGTCTCTCAAGTCCCCGAGTGCTAGGCTGCACGCACGAATCCGAGTTCGCTGGGAGACGTGTAAAACTACATGTTGGCAAAGAGCTCCCACGTGTACTCCTTCCAGAAAATCCAGGGAATATATAGAAACTCATGACATGTGCCCCAAGGTGCTCTGCTATTTTAAAATAGAAATCTCTCCTCTCTTACACGTCTGTGTGTTAAACACAAGATAATCCTCCCTCAACGTGCAAGTCTGCTGCCTTTTACTTCAGCCAGCTCAGGTGCAGTGAGGACAGCTGAGCCGGAGCGTATTCTCCTACCCTAAGGACTGCCCTGGAAGACAACCACAGCAGCTCTGATTAACACTCTTCCACCCTGGATGCAAACCAGCTGCAAACAAGAGGGGCACAACACCATGCTTGTGGTTGTTGTTGTTTTTTTAATCATTAAAACTTGATGTTTACATTCAACCTAAGAAGAATCAACAGCATCAAACCTATAATGTCCATTCTTGAAAGGTGTGAGATCCATTATCTTTATTCAAAGATGTTGATGATAATAATAATAAAAAAACAGTTCCATACACAGACTAAGACTGTATCACTGAGACAATTTTTATGTACTTGTCAAACTCCCGCTCCTCGTAATTTCTGTGCTAGCTGCACCACAAAACTTGATTTGGTTAGATACTGTAGATTCCTATTTATTTCAGATCTATTTTTCATAAAACAATTTTATGGGCATTTATGGAGAAAAAAATTTTCTTCTCCTCACAACAAACAGCATACTGATAGTAAGGTAATACTTTCCCCCCCAAGCCACTTGCAAACTCAGAATAATTCTCCAAGATACATAATCTCCATCATTTCCTTGGTCAAAATCTGCACCATGGCGGGGGGGGGGAGGGCGGAAAT